GTGTTTTATATAGTTACGTTTACACAACCAAAACATTTCACTGTACTTTTAACCCGCGCCGTGCTGGTGGCCTGAACTTTCCGCCGAGTGCTGGGGGGGCGTTTTCACGCCCCCCCCCCGTCTAACTCGGCTCCTGGGCCACGTAGCGACACGCGGTAAGCGGCAATCGAAAGAACGTCCAAAATAAGGACGAAAACACTTCGGTCATTTTTTGGGTCAGGTCAAAGGTCAGGTCACCAGAGGTCACCAAAGGTAAAATGTTGACTATTTCAACATTTTGGAAACTGCCAATGGCTATCTCGGGAACCGATAGAGCTACAGCGCCGCGGAAAAGCGCATTCGATAGCCCTTTTACAGACCTTTCTGAGTAATGTCCTCAGATTTGACCTCAGGTCAACGGTTTAGCCTCCAGAGGGCAAAAACTCCAAAAATAGCCGTTTTTACGAAAAACGTTTTTTCGTCAATAACTTTTGACTCATAAGCGCCATGACATTACTTTTGCCAGCATCGTGTTTCTCTCGTCGAGACGCGTCGAATGAACTATTCGTTGACCTTGAAAGGTCATTTTGAAAATTTGACCTCAGGTCAAGGTCATGACCTGACCGAAAAGGGTCATGTTGCATATCAGTCGATCCGTATCGTCGAGCTGAACACATCTGACGTGTTTTCACCGCTCTAGCACGTCTCTATCAAAAGTTATAGCCAAAAAACTGCTGGCGACCGTTCATGACCTGAGATGACCTCAGGGGCACACAGAGGGGTCACAGGTGCATTTTTCCTATTCAGTGTGTCATGTTTACCTATGAACCGATGTTTGAGAGCGTTTTGAACGATATTCGTCCAAAAGAGGCGCATTTCAATTTTCTCCCATTGACTTATAATGGACAGGTCGCAAAATTGACCTGACCTTAGGTCACAGATATCAAAAATCCGAGATATACATTTTATACATACTGTTACTCATATCAATCGCTGAAAGTTTCAAAGTGATCGTTCAGTCGGTGTAGCTATAGCGAGCCTTTGAACTTTTTCTGAGGTAAGGTCACTTGACGTGACCTGGTGACCTGACCTTGAACGGCCTAGGTCTGAAATTTTCACAACATGTGCGGAAATGATGTAGGAACACCTGTACCAAAAACGGTGGCGCTGCGCGCCGTCGTTTTTGAGATATTTGCGAAAAACCTGAGGGGGGGCGTAAAAACGCCCCCCCCCCAGCACGGCGCGGGTTAAGAATTGTATGCGTTTTATTCAATCATATAGCGGGCCGGTCGGTAACAGGGGCTTCACTTGCATTGCCATGTGCACTGACGGATCCAGGGAGGGGGGATTGGGGCAGCCGCCCCCCCCCCCTCCCCACAGCGCCCAAAATCGACGAAATTTTACTTTTTTCGAGAATCAAGCAAAAACTGAGCAGGATTAGAAAAAAACTTGAATCGTGAAGTGCTTGCTAAATTATAGGCATTTAAATCAATAGATTGTTTTAACCCGCGCCCAGATTGAGATGGGGTCTGCCGAGCAACGTGGTCTGATGGGGGGGGGGCATTTTGGCCCCCCTCAGATCTCGAGAACCACGCAACATAGCGACAAGCGGTAAAGGGTGTTGGATAGCCCCAACGGGGAACTACCTTGTGACTCAATTTCATTGACCTCGGTCAAACCGATGACGTCACAGGTCAGGTCAAAGGTTGAATTTTCACCGTTTACAGGCATCTCAAGAAATGAAAACCCGAAAGAAAGAAGTAAAATCGAGTAAAATGCATTTCATTGAAAATCATCGATGGGGAAATGTTCTTCAAACACATATTTTGCTATTTGAGGTCACTGATACCAGGTCAGGTCACAGAGGTCAGGTCACTGGGGGGTCACAATATGAAAGTGTAAGCGTGTGATACATGTTTTATGGTCCATTTTACATGACAAATGCGATTATGTGGGTCAGACAGACTTTAGGGCCAGCTTAGGTCACGTTTTGGTCAAGGTCAGGTCAAGGTCAGGTCAAGGTCAGGTCAAGGTCAGGTCAAGGTCAGGTCAAGGTCAGGTCAAATTAGGTCAATTTTCAAAGTTGATATTTTTGCATAAAATGGGTATCGATTCGATGCAGCTCGTCACGGGGAGTTCAAAGGTGGTCTCCGTTTTGCGCTGCAAGGTCTAGAATTGCTAAAAATTGAGTTCAAAAATTTGACGTCATCAATTTTTAACAGTTTTTTCGCTATAACTTGGCCAAAAAAAAAGTATCGATCTAAAATTTGGTATGTATATCGAAGAGCGCAGGGACTATCACATATATTCCGGTGTTTTCGAAATTCGAAAAAAAATTAGAAATTTTTTGAGTTTTTCTAAAAAAAACAATTTTTTTGATTTCTGGGGCTCAAAATCCCAAAATTTCGAAAATCCGAGATGGCAGTTTTGTAGCGCCGTCTTTTCTCTACACAACCACATAAAGAACTTTAAAATTGCTTGTTAACTGTAGAATTGGTGAGCGTTTCAAGATGTCATGTTTTTTGCTCATTTTTACTCGAACATGACCTCAGTTTGACCTCAATAACTCCTGACCTGAGGTGACCTGTGACTTGAAATTTTGTGTGAAGGTGTCAAATTGATGCCCGGTAAGATAGCAAAAATTTGGCGGCGCTGCGCGCCGCCGTTTTCTCGCTATTTAAGAAAAACAACAGGGGGGCCATTTGGGCCCCCCATCATTATTATTATTCATTATTATTATTATTATTCATTATTATCATTATTAATTGATTAAGTGACCTCCTTAGAAAATCAAACTTTTAACATTCATGTACGTTTTGTTTTTGACAAAAAAACACTAGTTAAACAGATATAATAATGTTCATTCATGTAGGCTCGACGAAAAAAATCATGAATGTAAAAAGTTCAATTTTGTAAGGAGGTCATTTGAAACAATCATTACTGAAAAAGTTTGTTTCAAACGGCATGGCAGTGTGTAGAGAATCAAGACCCGATGAGTTTTTGTAAGTTGGAGAAACTTTTTCGGGGGTATGACTCCCCCTCGCAGTGTCCAAGATCGCCTTTCTGGATCTGCCAGTGGTAAACTTCAAAATTTGACCTCTAAATTTGAACAATTCAATGGAAAAGAAAAGCCATTTTTACCCCTCCGGTGAGGATGTCACAATTGTCAGCACGGGGAGGATTAAACATTATGTCTCATGCGGTTGCGGTTATATGCAGACATACTATTTTATACAGTGATGATATACCCTGCAGTGATGCATTTGCTATGCGTTACTATTTTTTCTTTCCTGGGTAGCAACATTGTGACTTGCTTACTCACTAGTACGTTCAGGCTCCAGACACGCGACAAGCTCTTGTGCTCCTGACGCTGTCCTTAATCTTCTAGGCGGTTGGGGGGCATTTTTGCCCCCCCCCCTTTAGTTTTTTTCAATATATCTCCAGAACCGCTGCGCCGATCGTCACCAAACTTTCAGTACCCTCCTGTGAATAGCTATTGCACATTGTGCCAAAAAAAAATTCCAAAGGCTATGATAGGTTGGCCTCTAATGACGTCGGAGTGACGTCATTTCTGCCATTTTCGACCCGGAAGAGCTGTCAGGCCTACAGTTTTAAAGATATAGATAAATGTTTCGACATAAAAGGTGCAAAATTAATAGGGCTACAAAACTGCTATCTCGGATTTTTTAAATTTTCGCTATTGACCCCGAAAAAATCAAAAAATATATTTTTTGAATATGATAGCCGAAAAATCCAAAAAGTCTTTTGAATTTCGAAAAAATCAGAATATATGTGATAGTCCTTATACCGCCTTCTATCCACATACCAAATCTGAGATCGATACCTCTTTTTTGGCCAAGTTATAGCGAAAAAAAAAAAACTGTTAAAAATTGATGATGTCTAAATTTCAAAATCAATTTTTAGCAATTCTTGACCTCGTAGCGCAAAACAAAGACCACCATTAGACTCCCCGTGACGACCATCGAAACAATACCCATTCTATGCAAAACCATCAACTTTGGAATTTGACCTTTTTTACCTGACCTTGACCTGACCTCCACCAGAAAGTGACCTAAACCGTACCTGATGGGCTTATAACCAACACCATTGAGTTGGAAATGAATTATTGGCCATAAAACATGCATCGCACAACCTTAGTAAAGTTGTGTTCATGTGCTGACCCTTGGTGACCTGACCTGTGACCTGACCTGGTATTGTCAGTGACCTCAAATAGCAACATATGTACTAGGCAACTGACTATTGCTGATTTTCGACAAAATGCGTTTTGCTCCGTGTAATAACGCATTCCCTAGAAGACCTGTGAACGTAGAAAACACTATAGAAGCCTGTCTCGTAGCTCAGTTGGTATAGAGCATTGGACTCCCGGTAGTGAGAGCCCGGATTCGAGACGCTCCGGCGCTCGATATTTGAGACTCCTGACGGGGATGGTCTGGGGTTGGTGGGAGCAGCCGCAGCCAGTTGAAGTCAGTTGAGTGGGGAGGCCGTGTCCGGCTTTGAGGGCACGTTAAATTTTGGCACCTAAATTCTCCGGATACCCGGAATTGCGCGATCGGACGGTAGGGGTCAGGGTCTACGCAACAGGCTCTGCTCAGCGTGGGCTCCGGCTCTGTCAATCCGTCCATTCTAACATTCGAGCTAAATAAAAAAAAAAAACGGTGAAACGTTTTATCTTTGACCTGACCTGTGACGTCATCGGTGACCCCGAGCTAAATGAAAATTGTTTTCCTTCGACAAATTTGACAGGACTATCGAACGCCGTTTGAATTTTACGGATCCCTCTAGTAGTTTCGGAGATACGGGGGGACAAAAAAAATTCACCCCCCCCCCCCCACCGCGCGGAAGGTGGCCGGGAGGCCCACCGCCTGCCGGGCTAATGGCTGGTCGGGCGCGGCTTGGCCGGCTCGCGGGCTGGCTGGATTCGCCCGGCCGACCCGTCACGGTTCGGCTGCTCCCCATCCACGGCCGACACACGGCATGACGCACTGAGGACCAGCGGGGACACTTGTGAAGCGGTGCGCGTCGACAGTGTCCGAGGCGATATCGCGCGAGAAGGACCAGTGGCGATCGGGTCCTTTCGGCGGCTGCACGGTCCCGGTGAGTGTCCTACCTCCAGTGTGAGGTGAGGAGCGAGCAGAGTGATTGACATTTGTGCGACGGCTTTTAGACGATAGCTCGGGAACTTGTAGAGTATCATGAATGATTAACATCGCCCATGAAGAAATCGTGCATTACCATGTGCATATGCAAACTTAGCATTTGACGACCGGTTGGATACGTTCCAATTCACTGGTTAATTTGAGGTCGGCATTACCTAACAAATGTGTGGGTAGCTAACACCATGTTTTAACATACAGATCATGTTAAAGTAACAGGGACAGTCCTATTTACCCCAGTCGGCCGGAGGGGGGGCGGTAACCCCAAACACCGCAGCCCTGGGGGGATTTTCACCCCCTGTCTAGCACCGTTAATAAAACAGTTTCGGAAACAAAAGTGTACCAAACGAAAGATCTCCACGTGACGACTCTAAACCACCAACCATTTATGACCTTAGGTCAATTTTAAGGTAAGAGCTCAGAGTTAAAGGTAAAACCAGCACATGTGTCGTGGTCTCCAGCTATATATGTGCTCCAGCCGGCCGGGCCCGGGGGGTAATCCCAACCACCGCAGCCAGGGGAGGGGCGTTTTCGCCCCCCCCCCTCCCCGTCTAACTCCGTAAATAAGGGAGCTAAGGAAACAAATTTGGTACCAAATGAAAGGTCTTTACGAGACCATAAACCTCTGTACACCGGGTCTATGACAGAGGTACAGATGTCTATGACGAGACCATTCTAACGCACATTTTCTTTTTTACCTCTGGCCAGGCTTCAAGGTTAGAGCCGCAGAGGTCAAGGTCAAAGGCAAAAACCGGCATACCTATGTGTAGTGATATCAAAGTAAGTGTTTCAAGGGACGGCAGGATGCATAAAACCGGCAAAAATGGGTGTCAAACGAAAGAAAAGAAACTGAGGATTCCGATTATGCGCCCAACATTCAAGATCAACGTCAAGGTCAGGCTCACAATTGACCTCCAACGTTGCACTCTTTCGTATATCTTGTATACCAGATTCCAAGAGAGCTTGAAATGTTTTTTTTAAGCTTACCAGGCCCCTATTTGTGGTTCATCTCACGATACAAAGCTGCCCCAAGGTCAAGGTCACGGGAGCATCCTTGCTAGAAGCTATTTCACTGATTCAAGTCAGCCTAACCATCAAAATAATTGTGCCTTCCTGAGGCTATAATTAAACGCTTAGAGCAAAATGTATGCCATATTCGTGATCAGCGCCTACGAATCTATCATATACGACCTTTCATGTGTCAAGGTCAAGCAAAGGTCATTCGAGGTCACATTAGGTCAGCATGAAACTGGACCTTTTCCAAACAAAATGTATGTCATTCGACTCGGCTTGATAAGAAAAATGCGTTGGTACCATTGCCGTAACTCTAAAACCATTTTTGTATAAGTTATTTACGAAAATAAACTAAAACCCCAGCTCGGGGTCGTTGGCCTGACCTCTGAACTCAGGTCACTAAAACTATTTTCCTATTTTTCCGTAGGTCAAACGCTACAAACCCGTGCTCGTAATTTGTCTTTATATCTAAAACTCTATTTTTGGCAGCTCTCTGAGGTTCACGTCTCTGGCGCCGAAAATTGCTGTGCAAAGGTCTAGAAAAATCAACCCTGTGACATCATCAAGGGGGCTAGGTCATTTTTTGCGCCAGAAGATTTCAAATTGATGGGGAAAAGGTACTGAAAGTTTTGTTTTCCTGTTTCATAAGCGCTCGGTAGCTATCGCCAATATTCGCCAGGGGGCGAAAACGACCCCCCCCCCCTTTCGCCGGGCCCGCGAGGGCCACCGTTCTCTGCAGAGAACGGTAGGGTGCATGCAATTGGGCAAAGCTGGCTGGAAACGAAAGAAGCTCAAGCAATTAGAGGAATCTGACGATGTGCTCATAGTTCTAGGTCAAGGTGAAGGTCATGCTCAACATTGAGCTCAATTTATACACTTTTACTTAAATATTAACCCGCGCACCGACGGGGGTCTGCGCCAACTTCGCACCGACGGGGGGGGGGGCGGATGACCGCCCCCCTGAGATCTCGAGAACGAAGCAAGATAGCGACAAGCGGTAAACGGCATCGGATACGCACGGTCAAGATCTACAATTTTTACTGAGGTCATTTTCAGGTCAGGTCAAAGATGACGTCACAGGGGTCGAAAAAGTCAAAATGGCGGCGCTAGATATGGAGAGGGTTTTTTCTCGAATAACTTTCGAATTAGTCAAGATAGGAACAAACTAAGGGCATCATCGTGATCCTCTCGTCAATCCGCATCGAATGATATATATGTTGACCTCGAAAGGTCAAGGTCAAAGGTTGACCTCAGGTCACGTGACCTCGAGGTCATCATGTATATCATTCGATGCGTCTTGACGAGCTGAACACAATGAGACCATCCACGCGTCTATATCTTGTTCCTGTACGGAGTTATTGGCCAAAAACCTTTGGTGACCTTTGATGACGTCACATGACCTCACAGCTGCCCAACAGCAAAACAAACCTCAAGGAAGTGAAGGTTGATCGTATATGAAGTCATGTATGGTATATGGGGCCATTCCGTTAGATTTTCAGCACGGAGTTAGAAAGTGGAAGCGAAAAACGGCAACGGTGCACGGTGATGGGGCTTACTCCCGGGTCCGGCCGGATTAAGAGCTATTAATCACAGTCAGGCGAAGCGCAGTAGAAATCGAACAGTAGTCGACGTCACCTTCATCAATTTGTCAATGGCTGGGAAAGTTATCGCTGCACATCGGCTGTGTGCCATCTGGTCGACTTGCTCGCCGATTCCATTTCCCACTCACTGAGAGGAATAGGGAGTGGGAAGAAACCGACGGAGGCGTGGCGAGGCTGGGCGTGGTGCGAACTGTGAACGCCTGTGAGCAGCGTGCACATGTCCCTTTCGGCCATTCACCGTCAAATCGAGTATTATCGAGCTCCAAACAGCCGCGCCTAAATGCTCTCTGAAAGATACAGCGGCCGTTCTGCTATGGAAGTGAGAGCTGGATTACCTAATTCTGGCTCTAACACCAGGCAGAGCAGCTGAAAAGGACTTAGGCGGTAAGACATCTGGGGCTGGTCGAACGATGCGAACCGTGACCAGATTTATGGAAGCATTTGGCTTTCGTTTCATTTGGCATTTGGCTTTCGTTTCTTTTGTCTGTAGCTTTCGCCTTCTTTGTCGGACCAGGGCTATCAGGGTTACCGTACGAACAACTAATACTCGTGTTTCTAGTAAGGTATGACTATGAAAGTAGCTATACTTGGGGCCTGATCCCGTTTAACAGAAATGAGGTAGAAGCATTTTTAGTTGCGGTATCCCCAAAGATAAGCGGTGCACATATAGAAGACTAGGAAAAGCCGTGAGTGGTCCACCTTCCATTTCAAAACAATGCTTATTGCCGAATCACATAAGCATACAAATTATTTGTTGAAGTGGATTCCCTTCATATACCGCCATATTGACGGCATGAATTCTAGCGCTCATAAATGCGTATTGCGTAATGATTTGTGAAAGAAGTCCCGGTTGTTGAGAACTCAGTATTCTCTTGCCGAGCTGGCTTCCCTAGACCAGCTCCATGTTGAAGATATTGTGGCTTTTAGTAAGGCTCATATTGCAGTAGAGGGGAGCTACTTTCTCGAAAACTAAGCAAACAGGTGCTATGGCCTATGAATATCATGGCCCGTATTTTCATATCAACACCAAGATTACCAGTTGGCAGTTACTACGGTGTTCCTGTCGTCTATGCCATCAGTGTCTATTTTGATGGTGCAATAACAATTCCTTATTCTACTCATATGTATCTTTCGTGTCAAGTGTCAAGTGTCGAAAAAAGCGCGGTGTAAAATTGCCGTAATCGCCGTACGGAGGTTCCGAGCACTCCGTTCGCTTACACCAAACGCGATTTTCAGGTCGGATAAAGCTGCTCGCGGACGTGCTGTAATGCCAGCCACACGGACTTCACGTGTCTATTCATATTTCACCCAGGCAGCCCGGGGCCATTAGTCCAACGGCCGAGGTGGTGGTACGCCGCAGCTCGACCCCCCTGCCGGACAATGGCTCGCTCCGTCCGCGGCACACAGACTTCCTGCTGTCTTTGGCCGCTGGTTAGGCCGTCATTACACCGGCGCCGCAGTCTGCTCCAGCAATGAACCGTTTCCGTACAATAGGTGTAAGGCGACTATTATGACCGGACCGTGGGTGGCGATGACCCACAGAGCCGATCTGCAGCCCTGCTGGGTAGGTTTTCTACCTAAATTATGGCGGCGGACAAAGGACGCCGTCATTCGTCCTAGAAACTACAACGGCACCTGACATAAGCTTGCAAAATAACGGGGTGACTGACGCAATAGCTGGCACCGATAGATAACCCGCGCCCCACTGGGGTCTGTGTATAACACGCCCTACTGGGGGGGGGGGGGGCTATTCATAGCCCCCCCCCCTCCTAACTCCAAAACTACTGGGCCGATCGTCAAAATTCAAACGGTGTCTGATAGCCCCGGAAAAACTGTCGAGCGAAACCTAATTTCATTGACCTCGAGGTCACCGATGACGTCACAGGTCAGGTCAAAGTAAAAATTATTAGCATTTTGGCTTGTTCACATTTTGGGCTCTGGCCGCCGTCTTACAAGTCAGATCAGGCTCATTTTTGGTTTCCACACTCGTGAACAGATGCTCTAGATACCTTGAGGGTACCAAACTTGTACTTTGATTTTCAGGTCAGGGTCAGGTCATCACAGGTCACGAAAATATTATATCATGCGTCGGTCACGTGACACATGTTTTATGGTCCATTTAGGCCATAGATTTCAAATTTGATGTCGTCTGTGTCATTCGAGGTCATTTTGAGTCGAATTTAGCTTAGGTCAGGTCACTTTCAGGTCAAAAAAGGTCAAATTTTGAAGTTAAAATTTTTCAACAAAAAAGGTGTCTGTTGGATGCAGTTTGAGCTCAGGAGCACGATGGTGCCATTTATATTGGTGTACGATGTCAAATACGCACTGAAAAATTGATTTGAAAAATTAATAATTGTTAATTTTTTTGCAATAATGCGTATAACTTGGCTATTTTTGAAGATATTTAGCTAAAACTTGCTAGAGTTAGTCATAATCATGCGTTCTGTCACATATATTCCGGTTTTTTCGAAAAGTCAAAAACGTTTTGAAAAAAAATATAAAAATATAAATTTTGAATATTATTATATAGAATTTTCGAAATTTTCAAAATTTTGAAAATCCGAGATAACAGTTTGATAGCGCGGTCAATTTTGAGTCCTTTCATGCAAAGAAATTGGATCTAGCTTAAAAACTGAGCTCTTGGGAGCGATTGCCGTGGTTCAATGTTTTGCGTCGAAATCGGACGAACATGACGTCACTCTTACGTCATTTCCGGCCGACCTATGGTAGCTACGAAGTTCAAATTTTGACACAAGGTGTCAAATTGATGCAGCCGAAGGTGCTGAAAGTTTGGCGTCGATCCGTCAAGCGGTTTGGAAGTTATTGCAGAAAAACGGGAGGGGGGGGCTATAAATAGCCCCCCCCTCCCAGTGGGGCGCGGGATAATAATAACACCTGCACCTGCAAATCACAAATATCAGGGTTCGATGGTAAAGTCGTCAGTGACAAGCTAAACCCAGCGGTGGGTCTCCCTGCCACTTTCCGCGCGGGGGGGGGGGGGACATTCCTCCCCCCGTATCTCCGAAACTACTCGACGGATCCGTAAAATCTCAACGGCGTTCGATAGCGCTGTCAAATTTGTTTAGGGAGCTCCAACTTTATTTGACCACGGGGTCATTGATGACGTCACAGGTCAGGTCAAAGATAAAATGTTTCGCCGGTCACGGGTCTTCTAGGGAATGCGCTATAGCATCGAGTAAAATGCATTTTGTCGAAAATCAGCGATAGGGCCTAAGTTGCCTATGTGCTTACATATGGTGCTATTGGAGGTCACTGATAATACCAGGTCAGGTCATAGGTCAGGTCAACAAGGGTCAGCACATGAACCCAACTTCACTAGGGTTGTGCGAAGCATGTTTTATGACCAATTTTTCATTTCCAGCTCAATGGTGCTGGTTATAAAACCATCAGGTACAGTTTAATTCACTTTCTGGTAGACAGGTCAATGTCAGGTTAAAAAAGGTCCGATTTCAAAGTTGATATTTTGCTTAAAGTGGGTATTGATTCGATGCACCTCGTCACGGCAAGTCTAATGGCGTTCTTTTTTGCGCTACGTAGTCTAAACTTGCTAAAAATTGAGTTTGAAAATTTGACGTCATCAATTTTGAATAGTTTTTTCCGCTATAACTTGGCCAAAAAAGAGGTATCGATCTCAAATTTAGTATATGGATAGGTGGTAGGAACTATCACGTATATTTCATTTTTTCGAAATTCATTTTTTTGCTATTAAATTAAAAAGAAAATACTTTTTTATTTTTGGGGGTCAAAATCCAAAATTTCAAAAAACCGAGATGGCATTGTTATAGCCCTGTAAATTCTACACCGTTCATGCTTGAAACATTTTTTATGTATCTCTAAAGCTGTAAGCCTGACAGCTCCTCCCGCAAAACTTATTTTGGATCGAAAATGGCAGAAGATGACGTCACTCCGACGTCATTAGCGGCCAAGCTACAGCTATCATAGTCTTTGGAAAAAAATTGGTCACAATGTGTAAAACCTTTTCCCGGGAGGGTACTGCAAGATTGGTGACGATCGGCGCAGCGGTTCTGGAGATATATCGAAAAAAAACTAAGTGGGAAAATGCCCCCACCCCCGCCTGGAAGGTTAAACGGAACAATACCCCTGTCCCAACTGAGTGACATAAACTATGACGGAAAACAAATCCATATAACCTTACGACTCAACAGAAGTAATAATTCACTTATTTATTCTTCTTTTCAGATGCACTCCGGCATCTGCCGAGACCAGCGTTCCCGACCTCCAGTGCTCACTTCTCAGGGTGATTCGGCAGCCGAGTACATTGTAAAGGTCAGCGTCGTGCCGGTCATGCTCGCTCTCATCAGCGGCTACCGGCAGCGGAACCGGCGGATCCCGGCGCGTTCTGTGCTGCTCCTGTCTCTCGGCTCCGTCCTCTTCAGCTGCGTGTGCATCTCAGCGGCGGGGTCTGTCGTCCAACGGCAGCGCCCCTCTCCACCAGCCGCCGGCGCCGGCACCGGTCTTCCCGCAGTGGTGCACAACGAGAGGGGCAAGATCGAGCGTCGTTGCGAAGGTGACGCTCGCTCCCGCCGCTCTGCATCAGGCACTCAGTCTGGGGGAAATACCCCGCCGCCGTGGAAAAACGTCACCGGGAGGGTGCTGACGCCCACCCCGGCTGCCGTTCGGGTGGGCCGAGCGTTCTGGATGACCGCGCAGCCAACCCGTCGATCTGACGAGGCCGTGAGATCGCCGACGGAGAGCTCGCTGCTGAAGCTCGGAGCACAGCAGACGGAGCGGGTGCCGGCTGACAGGGAGGTGGTGTCCACCAGTCGCCTGCTGCACGAGCTGAGCTCGGACAGCTCGGCTGCGGCGCTGTCCCGGTACGGTGATCGGCCCTGGAGTGACGCCGACCTGAGCTCCCTGCTGATCCAGCTCCAGGAGCTGGGTGGCGAGGCTGAGCTGCCGCAGCTCCGGCTCGGCTCGGTGGGCGAGTTTCGCCGCGAGCTGCGCCGCTGCAGTGCGGTTGTCGCCGTGCTGGAGAAGGACCAGCCCGGCGCTGGCAGCTCGAGCCTCCAGAAGTTGTACCAGCTGCCGGCAGCCGAGGGCTGTCTGCAGCTGCTGCTGCGACTCCAGCTACTGCCGGTGACCCGACCCAGAGCGCGCGAGGCTGCGGGCACCCTGCTCGGTGAGCCCAAACGGCTGAATCTGATCTGAACGAGACGGTGCACCTGACCACTCAGTGTAGCACCGCCGCACTTGACGTCTGTACATATCTTCTCATTAGAATGCTCGGGTAGATAATGGGTCAGTTAGGACAGAAAGAGGTCGTCCTTGCGTGGGAATGGTTCGATGCAGAGCTCACGCAGCCTAGAGGCAGCAGATGTGCTTAGAGGCGCAGTTAAACGAGTTTATAGCTTTGTGATGCCTATTATTGTGTGTCGTTGTTATTGTACGTAAATTTATGACTTGACGACGAAACTTATTATGTATGCATTATGCAATAAACTTTGTCATAGATTGTACTTTTGTGCTCAACGAATTCATTTACCTAAGCCATATTACTTGATTAGTTAAATCGTAAATGCCTACATCTTCAAAATTCAAACGGCGTCTGATAGTCCCGGAAAACTGTCGAGCGAAAATTTCATTGACCTCGAGGTCACCGATGACGTCACAGTTCAGGTCAAAGTAAAAACTATTAGCATTTTGGCTTGTTCACATTTTGGGCTCTGGCCGCCGTCTTACAAGTCAGATCAGGCTCATTTTTGGTTTACACACTCGTGAACAGATGCTTTAGATGCACCAAACTTGTACTTTGATTTTCAGGTCAGGGTCAGGTCATCACAGGTCACAGAAATATTATATCATGCGTCGGTCACGTGACACATGTTTTATGGTCCATTTAGTCCATAGATTTCAAATTTGATGTCGTTTGTCTCGTTCGAGGTCATTTTGAGTTGAATTTTGCTTAGGTCAGGTCACTTTCAGGTCAAAAAGGTCAAATTTTGAAGTTGATTTTTTTTTTTCAACCAAAAAGGTGTCTATTGGATGCAGTTTGAGCTTAGGAACACGATGGTGCCATTTATATTGGTATACGATGTCAAATACGTGCTGAAAAAGTGATTGGAAAAATGTATATATAATTGTGATTTTTTGCAATAAATAGAACTTGGCCAATTTTGAAGATATTTGGCTAAAACTTGCAAGAGTAAGTCATAAGCATGTGTTCTATCACAAATACCTATTCCGGTTTTTCGAAAAGTCAAAAAGCTTTTGGAAAAATATAAAAATATAAATTTTGAATTTTATTATACCTATATCATTTTCAGAATTTTTGAAAATCCGAGCTGGCAGTTTAATAGCGCAGTCTATTCTGAGTCCTCTCATGCAAAAAAAATGGATCTAGCTTAAAAACTGAGCTTTTGGGAGCGATTGCCGTGGTTCAATGTTTTGCGTCAAAATCGGCCGAACATGACGTCACTCTGACGTCATTTCCGGCCGACCTATGGAAGCTACGAAGTTCATATTTTGACACAAGGTGTCAAATAGATATAGCCGAAGGTACTGAAAGTTTGGCGTCGATACGTTAAGCGGTTTGGCAGTTATTGCAGAAAATCGGGAGGGGGGCTATGAATAGCCCCCCCCCCCGTGGGGCGCGGTTTAAACATTTACAAGTTTGCTTTCCCAAGCCGCAGGGCCGAATAATTGAGAATTAAATGAAGCATAACAATGAACTATGTCCTACTATAAGGAAAGAACCTGCGTATTTTGCGCCACCAAGCGACTTTGGCTGTTGTCTAAGATGCAGTTCGGCGATGGCTCTTCCACGCAGTATTTTGGGATCTTCTTTGTGTCTCACCGTCTACCTACTCGAAAAATATGACAAGGAAAAACATAAGCCGTTTTCACGACGGGCTATCCGGCGAATGCACCTAATTTGACCAAATCTGTACCTAATCTCTTTTACAGCAAATATCTTCATTTTATGAATTTATTTCAGTGTTTTAATCGATGATACTCTCTGATAATATGACAAAGCGGGCATACATTAGTGCAACCCTAGCATATAGCTACTAAGAGATACACTGAACCAAATTTGACCAAATCTGCACATAATCTGCACCAAATGTGCACCAAATGTGTACCTGATGGCCGTCGTGAAAACGTCTATCATGTTATGCTGGAAAGGTGACACTATGTACAGTCCACAGCAGAAGTAATGTGGGGTTTCAGTCATGGGTATGTTCTGCTTCTGAAGCTTAGGAACGATTAGCCAGACTACAATGAAACTTTGAATGTAGCTTATATGTATCGTCACCCTTGCAGCTGCAACTTTAGCTATTGACATCTTCTTTCCGATCACTCCGCATTAAACAATCGCCAGTCAAAGCCAACCGTTGAGATTGGTTACTACATTACTTTACTTTACCCATACATTATTTTAGCGATGGGCTGTACCTACATTGTCGAGTCGATGAATGCGTCTTCGTCAAACAAACCTACCCCATCCTCTCGGCCGCGCGTTTGGGTTTCGGCAGGTAGTTATGGTGTCATGTCCTTCCGCATAAATGGAACATGGAACCCGTGACAGTGTCGCCAGGGGCCGGCGTCAAATGCAAAAGCAGCACTTTACAAATGTCCAATGGAGGCAATGGATACATGGTTCACTCACCACGTAATATGCCGTCCAAAATGATCCGTCCAATTGTCTAGCGGCGGCACCTGTCCGGTCGAGGGGCTGCATCTACCCGATTTACATAAGGGCGGCACATTGCAGGACGAGCGGCGGGCCCATATGCCTGGCCTTAGGGCGGCACCTATTCTGGCCGAAGAGAGCACCTATCAAGGCAAAGGGCGGTATGTAGGAGTGGCACATACTTGGTCGAAGGGCGGCACATCTCTGGCCGGGGGCGGCATCTATTAGTGCGAGGAGCGAACTTTACCGAATGGAGGGCGGCACCTATCTGACAGAGGGGCGGCACGAACCGAATCTAGCGGGGGAACCTATTTGCTCAAAGGGCGGCGCCTACCTAAGAGACAGAGCCTAATCTGAGGTTCACACTAGGTATGTACAAATTGTACTTACATACCTGAGAAGCAGAGCACACTGAGGGGTGGTTCCTAAATGAATGGCGCTACATTTAGGGCCTTGGGCGCTACAAGATAAGGGGATGAGGGACTGAAGAAGTTGGGGCTGCATGAGCCGGCATTGGTGTTGCACTTTTCGAAGTACGAGTGGTGGAGTTCCACGTGCAACACCCTCCACCCCAATATAAAAATATGCAACCTCCACCCCTGTAATGAGTCGACAGTCGTATGGAGGATTGGGGATGGCCCCTGTCGTTATTCATACCTATATAGTCTGGAGTGTAATCGCCACGCCGATTGTGGATTGCTCTTGATCGTCAATACATACATACATACATACATACATACAATATCTCGGTAACATGCTCGACCGATCATCAAGCGGTATTCTGCTTCAGATAGCCCCATTCCAGAATTATTTCATTTACAATCCCTCCGAAATGACTGAGCAACTGCGCTCAAACTTGGCCTTTTGAGTGAGCGTGTCCACTAGGAGATGCACCGCCGTTGAAGTAGAACTCAACGCTTGCTTTTTATATCTCAATAGCGGCTAGGTCAGTTGCGCTAAAACCTATAGGGCTATTCCAAGGCCGGCTAAACATCTACGAATTTTAAAGTTAAATAAATTTAAGTAAAGATAAAAACACCGTTGACCTTTTGCCTAGGATCCGCCACATTTGATAACAGGGTTCCACAGTTCTCACTTTCCTCACTTTCCACGCAGCAGCGGCCGTTCAGGTGGCCGTTCTGCGCCGTGTTACCTGTCCTGTCGGGCGACCCAGTAATTTCTACCGCTCCAGTGACTGCCTGCCGACTCAGTGTCAATTACCGTTTTCACGGTTCGTGACTACCATGCTTTCTTTTTAACGATACTGTATGGGTCGATGTCCATGTCACTATTGGGGCGTAACGAATTACGATGACACTGCACACATGACTGACGATTGAGAAGAGTCACTGACATGGTTCTGAGTGAGATCGATGCCACTCTGACGGTCTGTCGGTTCCCTAAAATCTAAACATTTAAATGCTACAACTTCAGCGCGGGAGTAAGCCCTTTTGTCCTTGTCCGTACTCCGTATTGCATTTGGTGATGGACATATGGATGCCTGTTGATGACGAGTTTCTACTGAGAAAAATATCAGACTAGCATGAATGGACAATGAAGACAACACATGGGAGGTAAGTGCATGCTTACCACTGCCGCATGTACTTACTTATAGTGTCCATCACGGCGTCATAAGTACTGGCCGATCAATGTTTTTCAATAAACTGAACTCGTTTTATCGAGAGGACAAATACAATAAGCGCCACCAGCGATCCGTTTAGTATGCCCCTATGTATTATAGCATCCACTCCACGCCCTTCTTACATATCATTAGCACAATAGTAGCTCGCCATGTTTCTTTGTAAGTACGTCGTAGGACTCTTTTGACGCTAAAAGTGCTGCGAGTAGAAGCCGTTAGTACCCCAAATGCTACACTTTTTTAAAGTGTTGCAGCGAGGACGGCCATGAATTGATATGATCCTCGTCGTCTGCGGGTCATCATTTTAGTAATTCCGTTGTAGGTAAATCGTAAATGTCAGGATAATAGTTATTCACCTGTCTGGCTCGAAGATATACGGGTGTGATAAATATTTCTTTAATACTCTGTATTGTACACATAATGGTAGCAATCATACGTTCAGAGAACCAGCAAAAACGAAAGCACCAAGTCATTAATAAACATTCTGAGCCAGTCACCCTGCACACTTTCGACTTTACTATAGAGTATATCGTCCATTCGACATCATACCTACAGAAATTCACGTCATGTTCCTACTCACTCAATAATAAATATAAATGACGCAAGCTTCGCTGTCATATGGCAGCTGACCCACTACCCGAGTTCTTCGTTCAGTCATAAATAACGAATCATCAATGATGAAACAATGGATACCTTAGCTCAGCACCGTGATTAGAAAAAATAATACCTACATTTTATCGCTCTGATCACGCCAACCATGAAGTAGGCATACCCGGGAAGACAATCAAGCGAAGTTTTTGAGCATTTCGTTTTAGCGAGTTGTGTTGGATTCAAGCCAACGTTGTACTATGATTGGACAAGCCTCTAGGGAGCGAAGAACCCCGTATGCTCGAGCAGCGGCAGCAAGGGGTCGGATAATTCTCAGCGGGACCGCCAGCCGCCCTCCGATTCCACTGACTGATCATATAGTCAGCGCAGTCTCGCCTCCCGCGTCGGCCTAATTCTGTGAGATCCGGGCGCCGAACGGCACCGCGCTGCTGGCCGCTCCGTGCGAGTCCTCCGCCGGATGGTCGCCGTCCCGACCGCCCGCGTACGTCACCTTCCCGGCACCCTCGCCGTCGTCGGCCAGGTCCTCCTTGGCTAGGTACGAGTCGACCGCCTTCTTGTAGGACACCCACGGCGCCGCCAGCAGCTTCTGTAGGCCAGGTGTGCCCGGCACCAGGTACCGATCGTCGTCAGACCCGATGAGCACGGCACTGGGGCCGTAGCGTGCCGGCGCCGGCTGCTTCTTCTTTCGGCTGCCGCCGCCGCGGCTGCCCACCGCCCGCTCGTAGTCAGACCGGAACAGCGGCTTGTCGTACACGTCCGACGGCACGCGCGCGAACTTGAGCTTCTTGTTTCCGTACACAGATGGCTCTGTGGTGGTGGTGGTGGTGGGCTCGGAGGTCGGGGAGTACTCGATCGCTGCCTGGGTCGGTGCGGGACGGTAGCTCGTTTTTGCCGGGCTCGCGGTGGGACGGTAGCTCACTTTCGGTGGGCTGGGAGCCGGACGGTACGTCGTTTTCGGTGGGCTCGGAGCTGGGCCATAGCTCGTTTTGGGGGCGCTGGGAGTGGGACGGTAGCTCACTCTGGGCGGGCTGGTAGCGGGACGGTAGGTTGGTTTCGGGGTGGTGGTGGTCGGGCGGTAGCCCTCTTTGGGCGGGCTGGGAGCGGGGCGGTACGACGTCCTCGGCGGGCTCGGCGCGGGGCGGTAGCTGACTTTGGGCGGGCTCGGCGCAGGTCTGTAGGTCGCCGCAGGCTCGGCCGGCTCGTACGCCGGTCTGGCGGGCTCCGGGTAGCTCGGTGTGTAGCTCTGGGCGGGAGCGGCGTACCCGCTGCCCCCCGCCGACGAGCCGAACTCGGCCGGGTGCTGCGCCTCCCCGTCGAACTCGACGTCGGCGATGAAGCCAGAGTCGCCGTCGACGGTGTAGACGACCCGCTGGAGCCTGGTGTCGGGCAGACGCACCTCGTAAGAGCCGGCCGTGCTGGGGCCGTCGCGCTCCTCGCGCTGGCCGTAGTCGTTCACAGAGGCGGCGTCCTTCACCGAATACTCGAACTCGTACTTCGGAGGGTCGAACGGCTGAGGGCAGAACGGACGGCGACTCGTCAATGAAGACAAACTACATTAACATATGCGTGTGTACTGCACAAAAGTGTACAGTCCACAGCAGAAGTAATGAGGGGTTTCAGTCATGGGTATGTTCTGCTTCTGAAGCTTAGCAACGATTAGCCAGACTACAATGAAACTTTGAATGTAGCTTATATGTATCGCCACCCTTGCAGCTGCAACTTTAGCTATTGACATCTTCTTTTCGATCACTCCGCATTAGACAATCGCCGGTCAAAGCCAACCGTTGAGATTGGTAAAACCCTACGTTACTTTAGCGGTGGGCTGTACATATAACGCTTCGCATCATTTAGTGTTACTGACGCGCATTATGCAAGCATTATTATATACAAATCCATAGCTTTCGTGATGTCTAATTATAAATGATTTTCATGTAAAACGACCTACATCAGCATTTAGAATCCGCATTTAGGTATGCCAATGAACATGACTGCTGCCCCTCGGCCTGGCATTCAGCTAGAACGAACCGTTTGATATGTATAGTAAGTTTTTATCTCTGTCGTGGGCTACCGATACCTCATTTCAGCGTGGGAGACAAATAAACGAAACTTTAGACCACTAATGGAGGCCGCGCCTCCTCCTAACCGTTTACCAAGACTATCGCGATGATTGGTTGTGCCCACCGAGGTCGATTTACGCATTATCGTGTGGTAATGACCTCCGCGGGCGTCTCCGGCGCGGCAGTCCTCGCTCGGTATGTATGTGAGCCGTGTGTCGCAATGCTGGCCCAGTTCCCCAGCGTCCTCTGATCAGGCCACCTGTCGATACCTGGCCGCTGCACGCGCCGCCAGTGGGCGGCTCCGAGCTCCGAGCGATAGCTCATGGACAGATTATAACGGGGCCAGAGCAGCGAGGTGAGGTGCGGCGCGACAGGGGCCGGAATCGGATTATCGGGGCGGCTGGGTGCCCCGGGGTACGGGACCCGCTGGCGAGACCAGGGTCAATGTCAGCTGTCTGTGTCAGTATCAGATGCATGTGTCAGAATCCTGGGGCTAAGCCCTTATCGTGGATTCAGTGACAGTGAGATATCAGGATTCAGAGACAGAAAGAAAAGCGTCACCGATTCCCGTTTCACCGGCCGACATGGTGGCTGTTCTGTTTCCGTCAGCTATTGTCCGGCTCCGGCTCGGTTTCCGCCCCCATTCGTCCCCACGGCCCCGCCTGGTTCCTGTCCTAGTTGTCCTGCTGTGACCCCGACCCAGAACTGAGACAGTCGCCCGCAGCGGCGGCGGTCAGTTACAGCCCACAAAGTCCTGGCGCTGATCCAGAGATGCTCAGCCCCTCCCACGAGATATGGCCGTCATATAGGAAGGATAGCTCATAGCTGATAGCTCTACTGCATGCACACCCCGTCAGGTTATAATTTCCTGCCCGTGGGTCGCCGCAGGCCCCCGCCGACTGTTGACCATCGGCCAGCAGGGAACCCGCCCGTGACACAGTTCGAGTTCATTAGTTATACGGTGAGAGATGTAGGGTATTAGTGCACTGGAGTCGTGAGCAGCTAATGGTAATGACAGAGCAGATTAGAGTGCACTCGATCAGATAAACGGAATGGGGAGGTGGGGACTCTGAGGCCGTTCACAGATTTATAGCTCGTGATGCTGAGTGATGGGTCTATTTGGTTACCGGCTGACGATATATAACGTTTTCTGTGTCAAACATAGCTGATATGTGCATTTTTATTAAATAGGTGTCATATTTGCTTGAGCTTACAAACTTACAAAAGTTCAGCCTTGCAAGTTCCCAACATTTTTTTTTTCATATGGGAGAAGCACTCCAAATGATGAGGTGAAGGGATTGATTGATAAGATCCAAGCACACATGGATGAAATTGACATTATTTTATTTGTCGGTTGAATTTAACTCTTTTTGACTAACGAGCCGAACTCGTTCGAACGTCGGGACTAATAACGTCGGGAACTCGTTCGAACGTCGTTTTATTCATAGAACACTCGCACTTATGGGGCAGGCGGCAGCTCAATTAAAGGGCAACGGATCGAGACGTTTGTTCCAGTACTCTCGAGATGCCCAGTTTCCACATCTTCCCTGAAAGCTGTATGACCCTGATTCACATGACCTTCGACTTGAGGTCTTTTTCTTGAGACCATGTCAGGCCGGAATAGCTATTCGACGGTTACCAGCACTTCAGCGGTGCGTTTTCAGTCTTTTTCTTGATCAGAAGCGTATCGATTGGCATTGTGTTTTCCCCATGCATTATAGGATAGCAAGGTCACGTGAAGGTCAGGTCTCGGTACTTTAAATTCTAGATGACATCGGTTATTTTTTTTTTAGGTTTGCAACTTTTTAGAGTTAGTTGTTTACCCGTCTTCGGACTTAGCAAACATTTGAACGTTTGAAAACCAGCTCCAGTGCCTATGCAACATATGTTGCGAAGCTGTCAGTGATGGCTAGCAATTACTTTGGATAGCCGGCGGGACGCTGCCTGGTTGACCTGACATGACCGGACCCGACCTACTCTAAATGCATGAATGCGTCATCTTTCATTAACCCGCGCCCTGATGCGGTCTGCCGAGCAACGCGGTCTGATGGGGGGGGGGGCATTTTGCCCCCCCCCTAAGATCTCGAGAACCACGCAACAAAGTGACAAGCGGCAAACGGCGTTGGATAGCCCCAACGGGGAACTACCTTGTGACCCTATTTCATTGACCTCAGTCAAACCAATGACGTCATAGGTCAGGTCAAAGGTCGAATTTTCACCGTTTACAAGCATTTCAAGAAATGCGTTGTAAAATCGAGTAAAATGCATTTCATTGAAAATAATCGATAGGGAAATGTTCGTCAAACACATATTTTGCTATTTGAGGTCACTGATACCAGGTCAGGTCACAGAGGTCAGGTCACTGAGGGTCACAAATTAAAAATATCATGTGATGCATGTTTTATGGTCCATTTATACGCAAAATGCGATTATGTGGGACAGGCAGCCCTTGGGGTCAGTTGAGATTATGTTTTGGTGAAGGTCAGGTCAAGGTCAGGTCAAGGTGAGGTCAAATTAGGTCAACTTTCAAAGTTGATATTTTTGCATAAAATGGGTGGTATCGATTCGATGCAGCTCGTCACGGGGAGTTTAATGGTGGTCTCCGTTTTGCGCTACGTGGTCCAGAATTGCTAAAAACTGAGTTCACAAATTTAAAGTCATCAATTTTTAAGTTTTTTCGCTATAACTTGGCCAAAAAAGAGGTATTGATGTAAAATTTGGTATGTATATCGAAGAGATAAGGGATTATCACATATATTCCGTTTTTTCGAAATTTGAAAAAAATTGGAAAGTTTTTGAGTTTTTCTAAAAAAATCATTTTTTTTATTTTTGGGGGTTAAAATCCCAATATTTCGAAAATACGAGATAGCAGTTTTGTAGCGTCGTCTTTTTTCTATACAACCACATAAAGAACTTAAAAATTGCTTGTTAACTGTAGAATTGGTGAGCGTTTCAAGATGTCATGTTTTTTGCTCATTTTTACTCGACCATGACCTCAGTTTGACCTCAATAACTCCTGACCCGCGGTGACCTGTGACTTGAAATTTTGTGTGAAGGTGTCAAAGTGATGCCCGGTAAGGTACCCAAAATTTGGCGGCGCTTCTCGCTATTCAAGAAAAACCACATGGGGGCCAAAATGCCCCCCATCAGGGCGCGGGCTAAGAGACACCTGACGCACTGAACCTAATTTGACCAAATCAAATCTGCACCTAATCTGCACCATATGTGCACTAAATGTGTACCAGATGGCCGTCCGTGAAAACGGCTATTTTGACACAAGGTGTCAAATTGGTGCAGCCGAAGGTACTGAAAGTTTGGCGTCGATACGTCAAGCGGTTTGGAAGTTATTGCAGAAAACGGGAAGGGGGCTATGAATAGCCTCCCCCCGTGGGGTGCGGGATAAAGGGTCCGTGATGATCGGCTTGGTTATCTAGCTTTCTAAAAAATAATAATAATGCAAGTCATAGACCGTTTATCTTAGTGCACTCACTGGAGCTGTTCCACCAAATGCTGACTCGATTGCACTCACCTCGTACGAGTCGGATTCACTGTAGGCGTCATATTGTGGCGAAGCCGACACCAACGCCAGTGCTGCTACCAACAATATTGACTGCAATGAGGGAGGAAGCCGTCAACTCGAGGGTAAGGGATGCTGAGAATGTCTTGCATTCCGATCTGATTGATGAGCACGCGGTTTTACGAGCGACATATACGTTCCAGGCCATCTGTTCCTACAAATACAACCTTAGTCATATGATAGACAAATAATGAATGATTTATGTGGAGAGGTCCTATCAAATCAAATAATATATCTGATTTCAACAAAATATGGCATCGTTGATAATTGAAAATAAACACATGCCATTATAATTATCAGCTAAATATGCCTAAAATCACCTATGGTTCGGTGAAAAGAACAGTTATCAAAACATCATAGTTTTTATCCAAATAATTATCCAAACACATATCCAAGATACCCCACATATCATCCCTCCCATCCCATCACCCCCTCCTCCTCTGGGTCGTACCTTCATGTCTGCTGCTCCCTGGACGCCGCACTGAGGCGGCCCGCCGCCGACCGGGGGTCTATATGTAAGCCCGCGGCGGTCGGCGGCCCCCGGCAGGCGCTCGGGCGCCGGGGACGTTTTGCAATCATCTCTGGCTGCGCCGTCCGGGCGACCGACCTCTACCCGCTGACCCCCGACCCCAGGACGGCGCCCCGCGTCGACCTGCCCGCTTCTGGTGAGACATGTGCCACGACGGTCCGGACGCGGAATAAGCGAGGAAACGACAGAGGTGACAAAGATCGGATAACAACAAGAGCTTTTGAAGGTGATGCGCAGCAGGGGGCGGGTGGCTTTTCGGAGCGCGATGGTAAAGTGCGTGGAGTTAAAGTCGTTGTTAAACCAGCGAGCTCATCGAAATATAGAAATAATATGGAAATATGGAAATGGAAAACGTTTGGGACGCGCAAAATAAAATATAACAAAAATTGCAATGATATGAAAAGCTACCAGGAAAGATGAATAACACACCCCTTCCACGATGAAACATTGGGCGCCCGTTTGATTCGTTTGATCCGTTTGGTGTCAGTTGCTGGTTGTCGATTGTCGAAATGTCGAATGTCGATCAAACAGGTGCCAAGGGTTTTGTGCCTTCATGAAAAGGGGCAAGGGCCGTTTGCAGTTTAATGCACACGCGTACCTATATGCTGCAGACTATTTTAAAAAATCAGATCGGTTGCAAACAACCTGGACCCAAGAAGCGATATACAAACGACCCACACATATGTCGAGCCCTTTGCAAACATATTAGGTCTCATGGAAACGAACAAAGTAATTTGCAGCTAGAAGGATGCCATCAAAACAACTTGCACCGCAGATTTTAAAAGTTCATTAGGTACTGCGAAAAGTATCCGTAGAATGATACAGCTTTTTGCTTCCAATGCATTCAAAAGAGAAGAAGTATAGCCAAACCAGACTAGTTTATGCAGGTAAGATGTTTGAATTTTAGGTTATCTGCTGTTGAAATAATCAACTCAAAATAGTTACGATATCAAGATATAAGACATAAAAGGTATACCTATAATGAGAAAAATAAATAATCAAAATATCTACAAGCATTGAAGCCTCATAGAGTCAACGTTTTTCGGGACGCCCGGTATACCTACTGGAGGTATGGACGGCCGATATCGTGATCAAGCCATCACCATTCTCTTCTTCATCATATGGTCACAGCACGGATAGGTTACGTGTTAACGCCGCGTGAGCCCTGCCCCCACAGTCCATTGACCGCACGACTCCCCAATGAAGTGGGCTCAGATGTTGCAAACCCAATAGGACAGGTGCCAGGTACACTTTTGACCCCCGTAAGACCTCCGTCATTGAATCACGCTCAGTCGTTCAACTAATTCATTCGGCCGATTGAGAAATCCTCACATTGTTATGCGAGGTCAATGTGCGGTTCAACAGCAGGATGGTGCAAATGGTGCCGCACTACCAGAGGCGATATAGGGATGGATAAGTTTGGTGTTATGAAGATGCAAATATTCTGCCATTTTTATCCTTGTACTTCTTTAATTTCTAGCGACAAAAGACACTTTTGCCTCCGACATTATTATGAGGCGATATCATGCCTGTGCTGGTCCTCGTAGACCAATCAGTTTTCTTATTACACCCCGGCTCACGGTTTGTCGGAAGACCAGTAATGCACAAAAGTAATGGAATATCCCGTAGCCAAGAGGAGGTGGGTGCGTAGGTACGACCCCCTTCGCCATTTCGCCCCTAATTGAGCCGAAAACTCGTGAAAAAAGATCGCGTGCGCTGTTACGAGACGCAGGGGACGGTATCCGATTTTAAGGTCGTTTCGGGTCAACCAGTGACCCATGAGGCTAGGCCAAGTGCCCCAAGGTAGAGGTTCGGTTTTTGGTAAATAACTTCGCCAAAAATAATCACAGAGCCGCAATTTTGAAATCATCGTGTTCGCCATGCTCAGACGTGTCGAATGGCGTACTTTTTGTTTGGGTGAGACCAGCTTGAGGTGTTGACCTCGGGTCAAGGTCAGTTCAGAGCCACTCAGGTCACGAAGCTGGTCAAAGGAGGTTATATTGTAGGTATATCGGCTATCGCTCGATTCGACAGGTCTTCCTGAGTCCATTGGTGGCTTTCTTGACTCTCTGGCTCAATTTGAGCAGGAGCTATTGATGAAAAACTCATATACCAGTAAAACGCCTTTTGGGGCGACTAACGGAGCGAGCGAGAGGGTGGGCCTTGCACGTGCGAAATTTCGAGGGGGTACCTCCAACTGACTTGTACACGGCACTTTACTAACCGGTCTCTAGCGATGTGCCAAATTTGAGCACAATCGGCCCAGCCGTTCTCGAGATCTGGAAGCGGCACCCTGCACGTGCGCACGTGCATGGGTCCCAACTGACTTATGCACGGCACCCTACTAACTGGTCCCTAACCGTGTACCAAATTTGAGCGCCATCGGTTCAGCCGTTCTCGAGATCTGGAAACGACCCCTGCACGTGCGCACGTGCAGCAACACCCCAACTCTGGCACATGGATATGCAGTACCTAATGGGTGCCTACCTACATGCCAACTTTCAGCGCAATCGGCCAAGTAGTTACCGAGATATTGCAACAATTACAAAACTGACACCTCTTCGTTTTGCACGTGGCACGTGCATAAGGGGTCACCCACATGCATCGGGAATAGTCCAATACCTCGAAGAAGGAATGAAGCTACCCTACAAAAATTACCGCGTGTAAATCGGTCAAGTGGTTGCTGAGATATAAGCCTCGCAAAAGCGTCCGCACGGCCGGCCGGATGCTCAGAAATTTCCGTTAATCTAAGGAAAGACTCCGCTCGCTTCGCTCTCTCCGTAATAAGCCTAGGGGGCGGCACCCCCCCCCCCCCCACCTGCTCGGCCGGTGAGGGTTAATTAATTCTTGCCACCACCCATTCCTCGCCTTGTTCGTGTAACATGGACATGGCATTCCATCGAAGAGGTGATGCCGTAAAATACCTATACGGATGTTTGGTGCTACCTTCCTATCGACTACTGCAGTCCCCAGTCCCCCGAGGATATCTTCTCGTATGTAGTTGCAGTCACCAACGACTGCTTCGAAAGTCATATATGCCTGTGCGTTTTTGGACCCCTGAACGTGAGCTTAACGATCACATATTTCTCATTCTTATTCTTCTCATCACCTTTCCAATGCATAGAGACCGCTTTCGAGCATGTCTAATGGCAAATAATTCGCTTCTTATCAATTGTACATCCCATCCCAATTGTATTATCCCAAAGTCATGTTTCCGCTTTCCGGGATCTCATTCAGCCGCGTCCGTCGCTTTGTCTCCGGCGCCCCCCGGGACACTGTCACCACCGCTGTGACCCAGCCGTGTCCGCCGTACTCCCGTTCCGGCAGTGACCTCTGCGCTGACCGATCGGCCGACCCTGGCCCAGATCGGGCGTGGTCCGATCGTCTGCAGCCGATCGGCGCTGTCCGCCCCGCCGGCCGGTGTCAGAGTGACCCACAGACGCCACGCCCCAGTGCCGGCTCCCGTCCGGCGGCTGTCTGTCCTCTCACAATGCACGGCTCCCTCCCACATCCCGATATCTGTCTCCTGGCGGCCTCCGCGTTCCGGCGTCACCACTTATCTCCGCCCCACTCTCAGACGAGGCCAATTCGCGGCCCATTTGCCGCCGTGCTCCATTCAAACTAGCGGCAGTCGTTTAGGAGTATAACAGATGATGTCTTCGTGATAATCGTGTGAAAGGGTTGACTACGAGCTCCCAAACTACTCCACTTGGAAAGTGACGCTGTCGGAACCCCTTGCGACCGAGTTCCCATCTCAAGTCCTGCACAGACTGCACCCAGTCAAGGTCTCTGCTGTGAGGCGTCTATTCTCCGACGCACGTGCAGTACGAGCTCGGGTAGCCCGGCGCAGCGGTGGCCTACTTTTGCTCTGGACTCTGGAGCGCTGGCCGTGCGGGCCCCTGGGGCTCATCAGCTGCGCGCGCGCCCGCTGGCTTGATTGCTGCTGGAAGACGGGCCACCCCCCACCACTGACTTGCAAGGCTGCTGGCGCGGGCCGCTGTCCCAGTGCGCTAAGCAAGGCCGCGGGAACATGCTAGTGGTGGTTGGAGTTATGATTCAGCGCCAAAGAGATAATGCAGCAGGAGTTAAATGGAGTTACTTATTCACAACTACCCCGTAACGGCATGGCGGTGCCCCACGATCTGCCGAAATGGATTTTGCTGACCTCGTTTGACCTAGAACTCGCTGGGAAGATGCTGCTCATGGAGGCTCTGCTGCAACTATTAATCGGCTAGCAGCGTCCTGTGTTATTCCAATTAATTTCGGTTGTGGCAGATTATGAGCGATTAATCACAGCGATGAGCACAGTGAACTGCGATGCTCGATAATTGAACTCATAGTGAAGTCAATAAGAGGCCAAATGACCGAAATTGCGAAACATCCAGCACGCCCCGTGCCCCAGCCATATGACCCACCCTCTCTGACCTAATGATCGGAACGGGTCTAACAGCGGGGTCGTATTGTTCAAACAAGCAGATTTCGATATCCCCTACCCCACCTACAAAGAGCAATATCAGATTTCCATAACGCTTTCCGTTTCATCGCATTTATTACGAAAAATACCGTGTCAGTATCTGACATCTGAGCCATTAGTAGAATTGTGAAATAGCAAAGACCACACAAGCCATGGATCAAAGCTAGACCGATGTATACCATGAATCTGTAAATATGCCGACTGGCTGTCTGGAGACGCCGCCGGCCCACGCGGGTCACCGCCGCGGCCGGGGCGTGGGAAGCGCGGTCGGCGGCCGAGTCCCTCAGCCCGCCGCACTCCAGTGCAACCCGAGCCGACCGCCTGACCCGACCGTGACCCTGCCGGCCGCACGTGCCGGGGTCGCGGGAGCGACCCCTCCGGGTGGCCCGGGCCCTAAAACTGAGGATTTTACTGCGGGCGGTGGTGGATCCAGTCACGAGCGGCAGAAGACGTTCGCATGGTCTCGGCTAGAGGCCGTGGTATTTTGAGCTACATGACACCACGTTAGAAGTTGAGGGGAGTTGTGGATTGATGATTTTTCCGAGCGGACAGAGACGTCACAACGCGAGGAGAAACGTTGCGTCAGCGCTGCGCCGGGTTTTAGTACCGCCCGCGGTTTAGTACCGCCCTAACGGCGCCGCCGTGCCGAGACGGCCGTAGTCG